TACATAATACTATTACCCCAAGAATCATACCCCAATAACCCACCTCACAATCTCTACAATACCTACACAACCTAGGTTAGGCACTATGACTTCCAATCCTCATCCCATGAGTTACAATACTTAATTCATACTCATATTTCCATAAGAACTCCATATATGTAAGTCTAAGGTGTAGGATTACCTCTTGTAANTCTAAGGTGTAGGATTACCTCTTGTAGACCAAATCTTGAAAGACAAATTTGGGGTGTTCTTGAGATTTTGAAGAAACCCTATGAAACCCAATCAAAATCATGTTGTAACTAGTGATTGAGAAGTGAAATCACCATGAAAACACACTTAAAAACTCACCCTAGGTGTGCAATTGGATGCCTTGGTCGAGTTGGGGGTATAGAGGAAGCCCTAAGCTTGAGAAATGACTGAAATTCTCTTATTTCCGGTCTTTAGGATATTTAAAAACCTTCCAGGCGCGCGAGCTCGTGCTATGTTCGCGCGTGGGAGGCAGAATACTCAGCATAATGCGCGACTTCGCGCTAATATTTGCGCTAGAAACACCTGCCCAGTAAAATGGTCATAACTTTCCATACACACCTCCGAATGACAAACGGTTTATCTTACATTGGAAACTATACTCAAAGGGCTTTAATTTGATAGGTTATGCATCACACAACTCCTTATAGAACTGGATATATGATCGTTCAAAGTGAGGTCTTGTGCGCACTCATTTACAGATTTCGTCTAATATGAAACTTTTCTAACTTGGCTTAGACTTAGGCCTCTCCTTAGACCCCAATTCACCTCTAATATAACTTATACACTTCTTAACATATCCAATTGATATCCATAATATCCTTAATCCTCATTTGCACTCAAGATAAAATATTTGGCCTACCTTGGCACCACGAAATCTTAAATTACTAAGCAATTTTTTTATGGGGCTTTACACCACCATAGGTATTTTTTCATCTCTCCTAAAATTTTGATCCTTTTACTCCAATTGGCTTCAATATGCCTCACACAAAACCTATGATTTGAGAGAGGGAGGACAGTTCTTATTGCTTCTAACAGACCCTGCACATGTAAATTTAAACAGAATTAACTATATAATAACATAAAATAACTAGAATAGTCAGTTAAACAAAATCATAAGTTGTACCTTTTGCATATCAGACATAAAGGTAATACTGGTTCCATCTTTCAGATTCAATGAGTGCTTCAGCAGCTCCAGAAACCATGTCCATGTCAAGGTGTTTTCCTTATCAACTACAGCCCAAGCCAAGGATAGAAATGATTCTGACAATCTTGTGCAACAGCCACCAATAATTGCCCCTTGCAATGACCCTTTAGGAAAGTCCCGTCTAGTCCAATGAATGGTCTCAACCCTTGTTTGAACCCCAACTTCATTGCATTGAAGCATATGTACATTCTAAGAAATCTTTTTTTACCTTCAGCCATGGCATCTTTTGCTAAATTGATAACTACATGTTTGCTCTCCCTAATCTTATTTGCATATGCTTTTAATCTGTTATAGTCATCTAAAAAGCTTCCTTGCAATTGCTGAAGTGCCATCCTCTTGGCCCTTTTCAATATGGATTTATGTACATTCAATGAAAATTGATTTTTCAAATCTAGTTTCATATCCTTTATTTTGTACTTGGGGTTATTCTGCACCTTACTCCTGAAATATTCAGCTATAGTTTTTGTTTTGGCTCTAGGATTCTCAAATGCATCTTCACAGTTGTGCTCTGTCTTCAATGTTTTTACCTTAAAGCCAGGACCCTTCTTATCTTCAGAGATGAGGCATACAAAAGGGCAGCCTACTACACATCTGTACCTTACTCTTATTTTATCACTTTTTCTAAGCTTCAAAGGTTTGTAATTTGCAATAGCATAGAAGTTCATGACTTTTTTTGCCTCTTCCAAGTCCTTAAATGTCATAGACTTATCAAGCTCTTTGTAGTGACTAAGCTTATCATTAACTTCTTTACCCTTTTGCATCCTAAGTGACTCTAATTCTTCAAAATCATATTCACTAGCATCTGAACCATAATCTGAACTTTTATCACTATCCGATTCACAATCAGTACCTAATTCACACGGATATTGACCTGAAATTGGCTCTTCATGGTCCCCCATATTGAAATATCTATAATATAGACACAAAAGAAAACATAGAGTGACCGCATGAATAATTTAATAATTTTGACAATAAAATATTAAACATACAATAAATTACTGCATATAATATAATGAAAGCAATAAAGCACACACTTTAAGAGATAAAGCACACGTCTATACATGTTTTGTTGATTTCAACAGTTGAAAGCAAGAGAAAAAACAGTCTTTAAGAAGAAATGCACATGGTTCTGTCGATTTCAACAACCCAACCCTACCACACTATAATAAAATATGTGAAAAGGACACTTGCAGCCAAAGACAATATACGTCTAGGACACAAATTGACACCACATAAGGAAACAACAAAGATACCAAACAAAAAGAGTACCAGACCCACATGCAAACACTATACACTAGAAGACAGGTAAAAAATACCAAAACATGACAGAACCCTAGAAAATTACAAAAAAATAAAGTGAAGTTCGACACAAAAACCCAATAAATAGAAGGGAAAATTACCTGAATATCTTCAGATGATTTTCAATTTGAGTTGTTAAACCTTGCTCTATCGTATCATCCCCTCACCTCTCAAATCGCCATGGAAGAATGAACATGGAAGAACTTAGATTTTTGTTTGGAAATGGGGCTTGGACCTTCTGCCTTCCCGTTTTTGTTTGGAATCCGCTTATTTGGATTCAGAGCTTTATGTTGAACAGCTTATGTGGATGCCATGTCATGGATTATGTGGATGCCATGTAGGATACAAAATGCTGATGGAAGGAGCTGTTAGGTTGAAGGGCATTAGTGGGCCCATTGTGCTAACAGGGAGGATTTTTTTGGCCCAGTTTACTAACGGAGGACATAAGTGAGCTATATACCATAGTTTAAGGATATTTTTGGACCCTTTCCGTTAAAAAAATAATCTTTTTAGATCTCTTATGTTTAAAAGACAGATCTCTTACGTGCAAAAGTAAATCTCATGTGTGTAAAAAAAGTAGTTTCATAAAATTTAAAATATATTTGCAAAGAGCCAAAAAATCAATTGAGCCCTTTTTCCCCCAAATTTCATTTACAATGACTATAGATTTTATCTCCTTTTTTTGTTTTTTCTCTCCTTCTTTTTCCTTTTCCTTTTATTAGGGGAATATCAAATCTTTTACCCCCACTTACAAGCTGCAACACGCACTGAAAACCAAGGAAATATTGATATTACAGTGCTGAGTGTGCCTCTCCAACTTGTTGGACGTGTCAAAAACTCAAATATCTCCCGAGTTTCTGGACCTTCAATTTTCCAAACAGTGCGTAAAGTCCAATCTAACTTCTATTTTCCCTTTTTTTTCTGTTCGTTCATACTTCGCACAGTCTTCTTTGCTCATTCAGCTGAAAATCTAGAAATTCCATCAAGTAAAAACCTCGCATTTTCACAATTCTACAAAAATCAATTCATAATCCTCGATTTTTTTTATTTTGAAGTTGGAGATTTTTTTTATTAGTTTAAAATTTATTTGCAGATAACAGAAAGTGAGAATTGAAGATGAGGCTATTGAAAGTGGCGACGTGTAATTTGAATCAATGGGCTATGGATTTCGACTGTAATTTGAAGCACATTAAGGAATCTATAGCCGAGGCTAAAGCTGCGGGAGCTAAGATCAGACTAGGACCCGAGCTTGAAATCACTGGATATGGTTGTGAAGATCATTTTTTGGAACTCGATACTGTTGCTCATGCGTAAGCTTCGAATTTCACAATTCGTTTTTAAGTTATATAAATTGACTGTTAATATCAGTGTAGTTTGACATGTTATAGCATGTTAAATGCCAGTTATTCTCTATCAATGCTGTTAAATAGGTTACTTTAATTATCTTATAAACATTTTATTGTGCTTGTGATAACGTTGGAAGATGATCTGGAAGTAACCTGGTTGTTTATGTCAATGCATAAAACTTAAACTCAAATAGGATATAATTGAGCAATGGCCAGTTGATCAAATTTCAACAAGTTTTCTTGTGAATAAAGCACTTCAAACTTCAATATTCAGGTCTTTCTCCAATAGTCAAAGAAAGACAAAACCAAATAAATAACCTCAATTAGTTTGCAGTATTTGGATTAGAAGTCAGATATCCTTTGCTTGAGTCTCAGTGAACAGAATACTAAATTTAACCTCTGTGAGGACTTACTCGCCCTCACCTACTCTGTCTAATTAAGCGGTCTTCTTTAGCAATTTAGACGGCGTAGATGAGGTGAATCGCACAATTCAACAACATCTGTTCCATACATATAAATCTCATTAAGAGCTTTGTGCATTGGAAAATATGCAGAAGATAATTGGCGCGTCGAATTAATTTTGGCACAGTAGAATATGGATTAACTTTGCTCTTTTTCCCGATTAGAATTGCGAAATATGAAAAAGATATGGAAAATCTTGCAGTATAGATATTTCGTACTAATACTGACATGACATGACATGACACGACATAACATAAAATTAGCTTAGGCACTATACATGATCAAGTAAGGTTGTTACCATTGGTTTCACACATACTAAGTGTTCCATTTTTATATGCCAGGTTTATCTTCTGTAAAAATGACATGCTTTGGGTGCATAAATTTTTTTTTCTAGCAGGTGTTACGACACTTCAACGTACAAGTAACATCAAATTAGCAGTTAGATACTGGCTAAAATAGACATGACTTGTTTTGGAGATAGATGAAGGATGTGCTATGTCAAGATATCTATCTTCTCTCTCCTTTTCCTCTTTATTGCTTTGCACATGTGAATATTTGATGTTCTTGTCAATGTAATGAATATTGATAATATGCTAGTGTTTCCTTTGAGATGAAATTCAGTTTATTTTGCCTTCCCAGATAACGAAACCAGCAAGTCAATTATCATTATTGAAGTACATGTTGATGTTTAAAGAAACACTTGCTGATAAAGTGGCATCAGAAAAAGTAGAGAGTAGCTGACATTAGATTATTGTCTCGAGCTTTTTTCCCCTTTGTAACATTTTCATGAACGTTCAGGTGGGATTGCTTAAAAGAACTACTGTTAGGAGATTGGACTGATGGCATATTATGTAGCTTCGGTATGCCTGTTATCAAAGATTCAGAACGTTACAATTGTCAAGTGTTGTGCCTAAACAGAAAAATAATCATGATAAGGCCAAAGATGTGGCTAGCAAATGATGGCAACTACAGAGAACTCCGGTGGTTTACAGCGTGGAAACAAAAAGAGCATCTTGAGGACTTCCATCTCCCAAGTGAAATTTCATATGCTTTATCTCAGACAACAGTACCTTTCGGTTATGGCTATGTCCAGTTTCTAGACACGTGTGTAACTGCACCAGCAGTCCTTATATATTTCTTTTGCTTTTCTGCCTCTCTTTTAAAGTTTACCTTAATTGTTTCATCAGCTAGAGTATAGAACTCACCTAGGTTGGAAATAATGCTTCAGCATCCGCAAAATTTCAGCCCCATTTCATAGAGATTACTGATTTTGGTGTCCATCATTCTTTGTGGTTCCGTGGTGGTTGAGAAACTGCTACTTAACTATGTTTAATCTCGGTTAGACACTTATATGATTTGCTTATTAACGATGGCATAAATTGAAGGTTTTAAGTACTCGACATTAACTTTTGACTTGTTGTATGAAACTTCTATTTTTGTTAAAAACAAGAAGTGAAAGCACCAAATTCTTGATTGAGATGTGTTTGTCTAAGAAAGAAAAATTAGATAAGAGAAACAAAAATGAAAATTTTCTTCCTAGCCTAAATGCCTCCTTGTGGCCACATATCACGGGGGATCTCTATTTGCTTAGAACACACAATGCTGAACTTAACGCAGTCAAACAAATTATGCATGTGTAGTAATAATAATTTGCAGCTTATTGACTTTACCCACCGTTTTATATGGTTTTGAGTCTTGTTTCAATGTTGCCTTCAGAGCTGTTGCAGCTGAAGTTTGTGAGGAACTTTTTACTCCTCTACCTCCTCACGCTGAGCTTGCATTGAATGGTGTTGAAGTGTTCATGAATGCCAGTGGAAGTCATCATCAATTACGTAAGCTTGATCTTCGCCTTCGCGCCTTTATAAGTGCCACACATACTCGAGGGGGAGTTTACATGTACAGTAATCACCAAGGATGTGATGGTGGCCGTCTCTATTATGGTAGGAAGCTTGCTTTCTGTCCTCTAATAATCTACCATATTAGTAATCTAATCTGTATTTCTTAGCTCAGGTGAAATGAAGATAATAGTATTTATATACTCACTCTGGTAACCTTTTTGTAGCAGTTCCATTATGAGTGTGTATTCATTGTTGATTACCTCTGGCAGATGGATGTTCTTGTGTTGTTGTAAACGGAGATATGGTAGCGCAAGGTTCACAATTTTCCCCGAAGGATGTAGAAATGGTTTTTGCTCAAATAGATCTTGATGCGGTATGCTTGAATCTTGAACTCAATATTTGAAAATGTTGCTATATAATATCCTCGTCTTTTTCCTCATTAGCGAGTTGATGAGAAGATACTTAAGTCTTTTGTGGGCTACCGAACTAGGGCCAACAAGTTGGTTCAGATTATGCTTAAATATTGTTCCGACTCAACTTCAGGATTTGCATGTATGAATTGCTCATCCATGCTTTTTCTTACTGATTCCACATTGTTCATAGCTCAATCCATTTTTTGGTTTCCTTTAAATTTTGATATGTCTACTAAGCAATAGCCAAAACTTATATGTAGAGGTTGTTTGATTGAAAGAAATAACATGATGCAGTGGTAGGAACTTTCGCATATTTTGCATTTTGTAGGCGAGTAAAATCCCTAATGGTTGTTAGCTACCCATTTAGTCAAGTGATAACGGTTCTTCTCCTTTTCTACCAGGTTGCGAGCCTTAGATCATCTGTCAGTAGCTTTCAAGAGCAAGCGAGTTGTAAAGCTAAAGTTTCCAAAGTATTTGTGCCGTACAAGCTTTGCCAATCTTTTAACCTCCAAATGTCACTTTCAAGTCCACTGAAGGTAAGTCGTTGTATAAGGTCAATGGTGGCCAAAACCAACCTATGTTTGTAATGACTAGTGCCTTGTACTTTTCCTTGTTTAAGAAGCTCTGCTGAGTTAAAACTTTATGCGCAAACTCCTTTCCCCTTTTTTATAGACAGATTTTGTTTTACTCTTAATCACAAAATGCTGTTCTGAAGGTCTTCCACATGGTCTTTATCTAATTTGTGAAGATATTAGTGGAAGAACTTTATGGTTTCCATTTTAGGAGCCATTAACTTATGTGTTGACGAGAAATAGGTTATCTCTATATGAGTAATGAATTATTCCTACTTCATCTCTCTTACTCCTCTTGCCCTATCTGACAGGACGGGGTGGAGGCACGAAATTTTCTGATCTTTTCCATTTTCCTGTCAATCTTAGATCACTGGATTCTAACAGTTGCCAGGCTATCAATTTGAAGTCTATACCACAATATTTCAAATGCTTGAAAGATATCCACCTTGGCCAAATCAAACCGGGTTCATCCCATCTGCTGGAATATTCTAGTCTTTCTTGTTAAAGCTCCATCTGCAGCTGTTTCTTAGATGTGTCAAAGCTCCTAATGTTTCAGCTTTATATATGCTAAATTTAGTTCGATCTTCTTTAGAATTCTACTGCATCTTAAGGCAGTTGTTTTGAGTGTAATGTCTGGTGGATTTTCCGTTGCTTAATTAAGTTTGCTTAGTCAATTGCTTTGTGTTTCCAGATTAAATATCACTCTCCGGAGGAGGAAATAGCCCTTGGTCCTGCTTGCTGGCTATGGGATTATCTAAGAAGAAGTGGTGCATCTGGTTTTCTGCTTCCACTTTCTGGTGGTGCTGATAGTTCCTCCGTTGCTGCTATAGTTGGTTCAATGTGCCAGCTTGTAGTAAAAGGTTTATTGAAACCTTCTAAACATCGTCTTGTTGGGTTCTATCTATTTTCTTGTATTTGTAGCTAATGTTTGACAATCGTATTGTTGTCATGTACATAGGTTCCGTCTTAGTTTCTGAGTAAATAAAGATAAGGCAGTCATTGTAATTCCCTACAGCCGCCTGAATCTTAATTAGTTTCCTACATGAACCAAAAGCCTCCTTCATGGAGAAATGATAGATAATTATTGGTGCTGTTTGATTACTCAAATTATCTGATCTCTGGTGAATTATTCTTGAGAAAACATGAGTAGTGTGGAGCTTTGCTTTGTTAAAATTTATGAGTTACTAAAGAATGACCATTTGCTCATATTTTTAGGATTTAACTTTTCATGGAGTAGCTGAACTAAAAATTCTACAGCATGACCAGATTTAGGGGGATCCTTGATTTGTCACTTTTCTTTGTCAAAGTTTCTGCTGCACATCAGCTATTTTCTATTTATAATGTTCTAGAGCTGGCAAACATTTTGTATGAGTATGGTCTTATTATTGTGCATGTTCTGCAATACATTGGATGTGTCTTCATTTATGTTATGCTGACTAATAAATTGCATCATGCTGGTTGGATTGTCTACTTCATTGTTAAAGGTCAAAGTAAATAGCATGACCAGCATGTTGAAGATAAGCAGACTATTCCTGAGCTTTATTTTCTATTCATTAAGTTTTCTATAGTTTGATCACCAGTGATGTCAATGCAGAAATTGCAAATGGCGACGAACAGGTAAAAGCTGATGCCATTCGAATTGGCCATTACACTGATGATCAGTTTCCAACGGATAGCAAAGAATTTGCTAAACGCATTTTTTACACTGTTTTTATGGGATCTGAAAATAGGTGAGAACATCAGCTAAGTGCCATCATTTGGTCCATTCAGGTTTTCTCTTCTGATTTATGTTTATTCTCTAGTTACAATTGAATTCCAAGTAATAATTTACTCCTTTAAAGTTGCTTTGCTAATTGGCAACTGGCAAATGGTTCTTTTTCTTTTTTTGGGGGGGGCTGGCATTGGGCAGCATATTTCTGGTCCAGAACTGACAGCCCTTTTGGTAATCTTAACAAAATGTAGAAAATTTGAACTTGCAAAGATGAGAATTTGGTCATCATGAAATGTTGGGTGGACTCACTGTTGTGCTACTGTCTGCTTAACCAAAGCTGATACCCCTCCTCATGAATTCTAGTCAACCCTGCTTAAATTTCGTTTTTAAATGACATTTATTTATTCTCTAATATCAGGGGAATCATTAGCAGTCTGAGAAGTGAATATTCCCATTCAGTCTAATGACACCTTTGATCTGAACGTTAAGGGTTTAAATTTTGCATGTGTTTAGTTTTATGGTGGATGAGATGAAATTAGAGAGAAAATGATCATCTCCAACCGTAAGCTGATAATCTGATATAAGATTTCAGGCCTTTTCTATTGATTTATAGATGTCACCTTCAATGGAGAACTCCTATGGGCTTCTTCTCTCTTCTGGAGAATACTAACATGGTGTTCTTTTCAGAACTCTATCTTTGACAAAGATTTATTTGAATTGATTATTGAGCCAAACTAGTAATGTTGATAGTGTATGCGTGTGACAGTTCAGAAGCCACAACAACTCGGGCAAAGGTGTTGGCCGATGAGATAGGATCATGGCATCTTAATGTTAGCATCGATGGAGTGGTCTCTTCGCTGATCTCTCTGTTTCAAACACTCACTGGAAAGCGTCCACGCTACAAGGTAGAATAGTTTGAAGTAAATTTTACCATTATCTGATTATTTGCTTTTATGTATTCAGTTTATGTGGGATCTGAAACCCATACCGTCATGTTGGTTGGCCAACTAAGTTGGTTGGATTAAGAGGAGTCATTTCTGAAATAAAGACCAAGTTATTGCTTCACACTGTAATGTTGACCTGATTCTTTATTCGCAGGTAGATGGGGGATCAAACATTGAAAATTTAGGGTTGCAAAACATTCAAGCTCGAGTCCGAATGGTCTTGGCATTCATGTTAGCATCTCTGCTGCCATGGGTCCATAATAAACCTGGTTTTTATCTGGTTTTGGGTAGCTCTAATGTGGATGAAGGGTTGCGTGGTTACTTAACAAAGGTAGAAGAAACTTCGCTGTTTCAAACGTGGTTCTATCAACTGCAGTTATCCTAAAATAGATTTCAGTCAGCCAGGGATTTTCGAGGCATCTACTGCTGTTTGAATTGGTTTTGATTGATAACTCTCTATCTCTACCTTATTGAAAACAAAAGAAGTAATAACTCTCTATCTCTGCAGTATGACTGTAGTTCAGCAGATATAAACCCAATTGGAAGTATCAGTAAGATGGATCTTCGAACATTTCTGAAATGGGCTGCCATTCATCTTGGTTACTCATCTCTGGCAGAGATTGAAGCTGCACCGCCCACTGCTGAGCTGGAGCCTATACGCTCAAATTACAGTCAGGTATCTGATTGAACATACTGCCAATTTCAGTTTAAGATGCTTTTTCTAGTGCTGCCGGTGATTATTGTTTCCTTTTCTAGTATTTTCTCATCCTTCAATCTGGAAAATTGTCATGTACTTCTGATTGGATGCCGGGGGGTAGGGGTGGAGTTGGGAGGGAGTGGGGTGGCGGCGGCTTTGGTCTGAGGGGGGTCTGGCCTCACTTAGCAGATTTCTCGGAGTCACCCTGTCACACCTCCTTTTTACCTACACCCCTGCGAGAAAGGTGTATATAAGGGAGTTTTTTCCAACTTAAAGTGACAATCGAAACGGGATTATTTTATTTAAAATCAGAGTCGCCACTTGGGATAATTTATGGTGTCCCAAGTCACCGGTTCAAATCCCGAATCGAGGAAAAGATTGACTCCGTATTACAGTCCGCGAACCAGAAATCCGGGTAAGGAATTCTGTTAACCCGGGAGAAGGTGTTAGGCATTCCCGAGTTCCGTGGTTCTAGCACGGTCGCTCAACTGTTATATTCGGCTTAATTATCTGATTTTAAACAATTATGAACCTATGTGCAGATTTTAGTTTTAACCACTTCTATTCAATTTTAAAGAAAATTGCAACGTTATTAAAACACGTTTCGAACCACGTCACATAAATGCACCCGTGGTTTTTGACATATTTTAACATCGTTGAGATTTGGATTTGGGTCACATATATGTGCACCCGAGTTTAGGAAGGTAGATTGTTAAAACAACGCTCCTAAAGCAACTACGCGTTTACAATTTTGCGAGGGCCATGGAAGTTCATGACGCCCCTCAATTTCTAAGGACAAAATATTAGTTAAATGAGAGTCGTGCATGTAAGATTTTTCGTTTGGCACGGCGCATCTCATTTCCAATTTTAAAAGGGGATTCAAACTAATTCTCGGAGGGCCTTAAACTATTTGCATTGTCTAATATGGCTCACCTCCCAACTATTTAAAGAAAGCTTAATTATCCAAACACTAATGGGCGAGGATTCTACTATGGTTCAAACTAACAAAAGTACGTTTTCTTTTAGAGAAAAGAGGCTGATGGTTCGAAATTAATATTTGGGCCTAGCATGAGGCCCAACAGCCTACCGACGTGAGGTTGCTCCAGGTGACAATTAGCACCAGTCCAGGCCAGGCCCAAGAGAGAGCCCAAAATGGAAAGGACCTGCCAAGCAGTCCAGTTCGAGTCCATACATAGCACAAATCGTCAAATTTTGACATTCGAATTTACAGATCAAGTTGATTTGCGAAAATCCAACAGTTAATGATTGAAAATCCACA